AATTATATTTTTTCTGACACAGCGAGTTTTACATATCTATTCCTCTGTCACAATAAAACGAAATTTCTATTCTCTAACTGTATTTCAAATTTTAGGGATCTAGCTACTCATATACATTTACACTCACTAAAAAGCGCAGATCTATCTACACTCACAGACATACACACAAACACATACACACACATATATATATATATATAGTAAAATGTAAGACACTGGAGGTGTTGAAAGAAAATGAAAGAAAATGGCTATTTTTGTAGTGATTTTATAACATATTTATGTTATAATTTTTAAATAAATAATTATATATATATATATGTATGTATATGTATATACATAGAAATAGTAAGAAAGTGATGTTACAAATTCATGACGGTTGTCTTCGAGTATAGGATCCAGAGGTTAGCAGTGAATATTTCGGAGACAGTAGGAAAGCGTAGTTCAGATTCGCAGTGGATATCGTAGCAGAGCGTAGTTCTTTGTTCTGGCATATTCGCCTGATAAGTTGGCATTGGTCATTCCGGTAGGAAAAAACAGATTTTATACACGACGGATACAATGTTCTGTGGCTTCTGATTGGTCAACCTTCTATTGGTAGACTATAAAGTGAGTCAGGGTATTTTGATTGGCTCACTAGTTACACAGTATATACACAAAAAACTTTAACAAGTGAAATATCGCATTAGATATATGTTGTGGAGTGTTTTCGCAGTGGAGGCTTGTATTTGTACTAAGTCGGTCCTAAAATAGGTTCGACGTACAAAACTTTAGGAACTTGATATTACGCAGAGTAATCTGGTCGTGGTCGCTGATACTTTCGTATTCGACTAACTGTCGTCCGCCATCGACTGACTGACTGACCGACTCTAGTTTCTATTACTATTCCTACTTATATTAGGTGGGAGAGTCTGTTAACTATATAATAGGTGTGTGTTCACCCTAACAATATATCAAAGGCCTTTGACAAAGTGTGGTAAGGAAGAGTAACAGCACCAGTGATCAATTATCAAGTCTTTCCTAACGGGTTGGCAATAGTTTCCTCCGAGGCAGTCTCCCAAGGCTCGCTTCTCAGTGTATGCTCTGATCATTTGCGAATAGCTATGCTGATGATACAACAGCATATGGGTGTGACTTCAAAAATCTAGGTAACCAGAGTTTGGCAGCTGTTTTCTCCTCGGTCTGGAGGGGGGAAACTGACTGACTGGTCTCATATAATACCTCAAAATCCAAATTATTCACGTTTCATCAACACCGAGCAAACTTTGAATTTTCACCTATGGCGATGAATAAGAAGGCCTTGAGCGCTTATTGGGACTCAACCCAGATCTCAAGTGGAAATCGCAGATAAAGATGCTTTGAAAATGTTAGGTTCCCTGTACCGCTCCAGTAAGTACCTAACTCCTCATGCTATTCTCTAAGAAAAAAAAAAGTTAAATTCAATCATGAAAAAAAGGTTGCTTCCGGGACCTCCTGGGATTAGAAGCCCTGACGCTTAAGCATCATCAGTTCCATCATCAACCATCGGACCCTGAACTACCACCAATCACGTTTAGTGGATATTGCCTTATGTAGGCCCAGTCCCTTAAGCGACTATTCGGTCTCAAACTCAACCCATAACTCATACCATTGTTAAAGATACAGGTAAAATAGTTGGCTCTTTGTACCGCTCTAGTAAGTACCTGGCTCCTCATGCTATCCCCTACCGTTACAAGAGCCAGATTAGACCGAAAATGAAGTACCGCTCACATATTTTGGCAAGAGCTGACGATTCCTCACCTTGCAGTCTCGATGTAGTCTAAAAGCGTCTCCGCACCCTTGTGGGTGACAAATCGTTTTCCACTCTGCAATCTCTCTCTCTCACGGACGAGATGTAGCAAGTCTCATTGCTCTATCGCTACTCCCATTGAAAGTGCTCAGACAAACTACATTCATTGGTTCCATCAGTTCTAACGTTCATGGCTAGTGCCCGACACGCTACGTACATTGTGACAAACGGCCCTCTTGGTGAGAGCTATTTTCCACTCTAGTAGCTTCTTCCCGCAAAATGTTACTTTAACTAACACTGCATTCTTAACCTGTTCAAGTCTAGGGTTAACCGTTATATTCCCCACCTATACACATGCCCTTTACTCTGTAGACCTCTATCTACAGTGGCCCAACTGCATTATTCCTTCTGATACCCTATACGTTTACAAGAGTTAGAACAGGCCGAAATTTCAGTATTGCTGCCATATATGTGCGGGAGTTTTCCGATCTTCACTCGATAGAGTCCAAAAGCGCTTTCGTGAGACATGTATTATTTTCCGCATTACTATTTCCTTTCCTACAGGCGATGCGTCACAAGCCTCTTGCAGTTCTATCGCTATTTCCAAGGAAAATGTCCAGACGACCTATAATCTTGAGTTCAAACTTCACGGCTAAGACCCGCCATTCCACGCACATTACAGTGAACCACCCTCAGTCAATTCACGCACGATTTGTGAGGCGTATGTTCCACTCGTGCTACTTCTTTCTACAACGAGCTGCTTTCTGGAACTGGTTCCCAAGTGGATGCTTCTTCGATGTCTTGTTTAAATCTAGGGGCATCCGTTATCTTCCACGCATGTCCACATTATCTGTGCCTCTTACTTTCTAACTCCATTCTTTTGTTCTAAAAAACTGAGTTGCTGTACACCTATTCGTCGAAAACGACAGGAGAGTCCAATATATATATATATATATATATATATATATATTTACATTTTTATGCTTAACATTCTTTTTATAGATACAAATATTTAAGTAAATGCTCTGTCTATAATAAACAGTATTAAATAACATTTACCGGCCTGAATGTCCGAGAATTTTTTACAGAAAATATTCGTTCTCCGACAGGATTCGAACCTGTATCCTATACGGAACCGTCGGACTTTGTCCATTTCACTATGTGTGATATATATATATATATATATATATATATATATATATATATATATATATATATATATATATATATATATATATATATATATATAGAGAGAGAGAGAGAGAGAGAGAGAGAGAGAGAAAGAGAGAGAGACTGCGATGGATAAATTGTCGTCTAAGTTACGCAAAAATAATAATTACATTGACATCTCATTTTAACAGATATATTTACCAGCATTACCTGAAAGAAACCTTGAAAGACTAAGAGTAAATTTATTCAATAAAATCCCCATTGGTTCCAACCACGGCCTCCAGACGACTTCTGAATCTTCTGCACCAATTCTGGATGGTTTCCTTGCTTAAGTTGCTGAATGTTGCCATAATCGTTCCATTCAGTTCATCTTTACTGATAAAAGGAGTTTTATGGGTCACTCGCTCAGCTGCGCCCCGCACAAAATATAAAGTTGGATTCAGTCTGGGCAGTTAGGTAGCCAGATGTAAGGGGGTCATGTGATCGCAGGAATTGTCTGATATTTCCGACTGTGTTCTCCTGCTTGTGTGGCATGGTGCAATGTCCTGTTACCTGACATAGGGTTTTCAAGCAGGAACCTTCTTGACTCAGGGCAACACTACCTTCTCAAGTCACTTGATGTAGACCATCTTATTGAGTTTGAGACCTTCACCAACAAATTCGGGAGTTCTTTTCATATCAGAACCGTCAGAGTCTGTTGTTTTCTGAGCTGCCGTACCTTCGTAATTACCATTAGACTAATCCGACTGTTTCCGAATCCTCTGCTTGCCATTGGCGCTGGAAGCTCCAATACATAAATTTCCTTAGATTTATACCCAAACAATCTGAAATTTACGTATTGGTGTTTCTGGCGCAAATGCCAAGCAGTACAGCATGCCGTTTCCTAATTTCCAGCAGAGTGGATTGCGTCATGGTACTTTTTTCCCCACGGATGATGCTCAACGAACCCTACCATAGTGTGCAATGCATATGAGTGAAATTAAAAATATAAAATGGAGACAATTTATCGATCGCAACCTATACATACAGGGTGTCCATAAAGTTCGTGTGCACTTTAAAAAAGTTATAACTTTATTAGTATTTGCGATAGAAATAATCTGTAAAAAATGTTATAAAGTTTAATGTACCTAGTTTTAAATAAAGCTAAAAGAACCAATGTGGTTTCAGGTCATTACTGTAAATCAGTTGGCAAATATTTTCCGTGAATTGAAAAAATCGTATTACACTTTGTATTGTTAATGATGGAAGACATGTGGAAACTTAAATAAAATTTCAATAAAACCTTAAAAAATATAGATTTACTTCTTTCTAATTCTTTTTACAAATTATTTCTATCGCAAATACAAATAAAGTTATATACTTTTTAATGTGCACACGAACTTTATGCACACCTGTATATATATATATATATATATATATATATATATATATATATATATATATATATATATGTAATATTTTTAATCAAGTGATCCAAATCAAAAAGATAATGCTAAAATCACACAAGCGCTTACTGACAGTGAATGCGAATGAGGTTTTATTGATGACAATGGAGAATAAAGGGATTAGTTTTCGGAAAATAGATGATGACGATTGATGTTGCCCATAAACTTTTGAAGTTCTGAGATGGGAGAAACCGGAAATGACTTCCACACGAGAGAAGTGCGAGAAAAGTGACTAGTTATTTTCACAATAAAGTAATGAAAACTAATACTTATAGAAAATACACAGGGAAGCCACAATATCAAGATACCAGATCAGGACAAAGAACATTAGTCACCTCTCCTGATTTTGTCAAGAATCTAGATATATATTACAAGAGCTCCAGAACAAATATGGCAGTAATAACTAATGCACAGATGAATAGTAGATATATGTGTATGTTTGGATCTATCTATCTATCTATCTATATATATATATATATATATATATATATATATATATATATATATATATATATATATATATCAGTCTATTCATATATAGCTATCTGTCTATTATCACAGTCTATCATATATATCTTTGTGTCTTTTTCACTCTATTTATATCTATCTATCCATCTCAGCCTATTCATATCTATCTATCTATCTATCTATCTATCTATCTATCTATCTATCTATCTATCTATCTATCCAAGTTTGTTCATATCTATCTATCTATCTCCTAGAGTCTAGTCCATTTAAACACATCATGCTTAAAAACTCCAGAAATGTTAGATTCATAAATGGCTCCTGAATTGTTCAGCTTACTCCCGGCTCCTTGCTTTCCAGCCAACTTTAATCTGCAAAAATTTAAATGCAATATCAATCGCTATCTACTGTCCACCTGATCAATCTCTTCTCTTTCTACTCGTCATTAATGTTTCTGTTCCTAATCCTTACACACTGTTTAACCGATTGTGTTTTAGTGGCATTAGTGCCTTGCTTGGGTCGATTCCGATTAAAAAAAGAAAAAAATGGCGTTCTTTTATTATGCCCTCATAATATAAATATATTAGACATAATAAAGTAAGAATAAGCTTGAACCTACCAACGAATTCACATTTCTACCTCTCATCAAAATCTTATTAATACTCAATAATAACAAATTGGATTTTAGAGCTTATCGTAAACCAACTAACAAAAACGAATAAATTAAATTCTATTCCCATTAGAATCAAAAAATAAAAATCAGGATTAGTACTCTGACTCTACGTCAGACCTCTTAGGATATGTAGCCAAGAAAAGATCAGTGAAGTAGAGAAATACATTGTGCAAAAAAAAATTAGTATTAAATATTCACATGATTTCATTCTTCACGCTAGAAAAGGAGCTTAGAAATTATACACATCAATAAAATATATGATACCACCGATAGTATTTCTAACAGCTACCATACAAAATTCATAATCCTACTCAGGAACACTCTTTTCTACAAAACTTGTAAATAAATTATCCTCAATAAGATTTTTAAAACCATGTCAAAGATAATCAGAGATATATTTAGGAAGAAAAATAAATCCAACCCCAATTCTAATGCCGGCACTTATAAAATAAAATGGTTACAATGTAAAAATATTTATATTAGAGAGAGAGAGAGAGAGAGAGAGAGAGAGAGAGAGAGGGAGAGAGAGGGAGAGAGAGATCTAAAAGCTTTTAACTACGAATATAAAAAGGATTTACGTTCAGACAACTTTTCAAACACGCTTGTAATACACAGGAAGAAAACTGGTCATAAATTAGATTTTACAAATGCCTTCCTAATTAAAACAATTTTAATGTAATTAAAGCAAAGTTCTTTGGGGGTTTAGCGACAAAAATCTATCTTAGTCAATTTCAGATCTATCTATCTATCTAGCTAGCTAGCTAGCTAGCTAGCTAAGACTATTCATATCTATCTATCTATCTATCTATCTATCTATCTATCTATCTATTATATACCGGACCTATGAACACTAATGGATATGTCCCAATCCGCATAAATACGTTGGACACTATTGTAAGTGAGGGTAATATGCTAAGTAGTTCCCCACTAGCAGTGGTTTACCTACTTTACGCCGCTGGCGAGTATTTTATTTTGTTGATGTTATGAAGATTACCATTTCATTTCCGTTTTGGTTCTTCCTCATTCAGTAACCTTTTCTAGGTTACAACACTATCTCTGTAAATTTCAGATCTATCTATCTATCTATCTATCTATCTATCTATCTATCTATCTATCTATCTATCTATCTATCTATCTCATTCTGCCTATATTCATCTATCGGTCTATCTGTATGTTGGAAAAATTGTTACTTCCTTATACCACTCCAGAAATCAACTGACTGCATCTGTCATGCCGATCAGACCAACAATGAAGTATTTCTGACATATCTGGGATGGGTCGACCCAATGTTCTCATTCCACTCTTAAGAGAGTTCAAAATCATATGCACAATTTGTTGGGGATTCAATATTTTCCACTCTCGAACACTTTCCGACATCAGCAACGTCACAAGCCGATTGTATATGAACACGCTCTACATTCCTTACTTCCATTAACAGCCACCGTAAGAGAGACCCTCAAGAGTATACCTCCCGGATGACTATCATCTTAAACTCTTCGTCTAGGGACAACCTCTGTCTTTGCTGCGTATCCTCATAACCAGCACTAATTAACCACTCCTCCTCTTACATCCATAAAACAACATCCTTCAATGAGTCTCAACCTATTTTGTAGTTGATAAAATAGAGTAAAAATCTACCTATCTTTTTTTTATCAATTTACTCACAAGGAAGGCAATATTGCCACTAAGACACAAGAAAGTGAAATGGAATGAGAATAATTTAAAACGTATCAGAAACACAAATCTATCTATCTATCTATCTATCTATCTATCTATCTATCTCAGTCAATTTCATATCTATCTATCTATCTATCTATCTATCTATCTCTGTTCATCTATCTATCTATGTCTGTTCAGATCTATCTATCTATCTATCTATCTATCTATCTATCTATCTATCTCAGTCAATTTCACATCTATCTGTTTATATCTGTCTCAAAATACTATGGTATAATGTTTCTTGAAATAAATCATTTTTATCTTAGTGCCCCCAACTGTGTATTATAATATCATATGCAAGCGATGAAAATAGTATCCATTTATACGATGACTGTGTATAATTTTGTCACTTTGATACTATCTATAGACGATCCTAGAGGATTAATGCTTCAACAGTGAAGGCGCGCGTTTGATGTATGACGCATGATGACAATAAAGATGAAACCCTAGCGTTCGTCAGTCATATCTAAGAATTTATATAATTAGTCACACTAATGAGCCGGTTAAATATCATATTACGACACGATGTCCTTTATTCATGTCTCTTCCCTTAATATTTTGTTACCTCAATTAAAATTTTCTTTCACAAAAAGAAACACTCCTGGATATATATTTGGAATAAAAAAAAGTTTAAAATAAAATATCTATCAGAATGATTGCAAGTATTGAATCGACGAAATAGATTTGAAATGCCTTCGCGCGTGAAAAAAGCGTTAAAACGCCCAAGGGCCTAAACTTACCAGGTTTGTTGATGGCTCTTCACATCGTCGAATCCTTAGTACCAGTTCTCAATAATGTTTTCCGCTATTCCATTCTTTCCAGATCCTGATCACCATTACATAAACTCGTTAAAACAAGTTAAACGCTTTTGACTTTAGATTTATTGCCTTCATTATTTATTGTTCATGTTAAATTCTCCAGGGTATCATTCCTCATTTCGTCGCCAAGGAATTGCTTCAGTCTTATTGAAAATGCTCCTGTAGTCGAAACGACCGGCTTCTAAGTTAGCCAAGGGAGATGCATAGGTGGTGCTTTATCTGCTGGATCGATTCCTGTCAGGAGGCAAGATCTTTCTTTCAAAGGAATACTCTGTCTTGGTCGGCCGTTAATACTGTTTAATAAAAGTAAAAAAAAAAGGTCACGGCAATTCAAACATGTCAACCAACTAAGAAAGACCTATATATTAATAAGAATTAATTTCGGGTTAAAATCCATTTAAAATCTAAGTATTTATGCAAGCGCATGTATATATATATATATGTGTGTGTGTGTGTATGTGTGTGTGTGTGTGTGTGTGTGTCTATGCGTGTATTTGTAAGGTTCAAGTTATGCTATATATATATATATATATATATATATATATATATATATATATATATATGCTTAATATATAAGAGTGGACACTGAGGCTCAACACCGAATGGTGATAATCTGAATAGGCAGAAGATTGTGTACTACCACGTAAAACACTACTCCCAGTGACCACTCTAATATATATATATACATATATATATATATATATATATATATATATATATATATATATATATATATATATATAATTACATAACCTATGTTATTTTTTTTTATTTCTTTTATTTTTTTATTTACATACGCTATGTCTTTATATCTACCTATACTCTATCTCTGGTATTGCATACTTTAACCCATAAGTATTGTATACCTTAAAACTAAATTTTTTATATATATATATATATATATATATATATATATATATATATATATATATACACAAATGACAAGATACTGCGATTAAGCTTTTTATTTCATTTTTCTTGTTTTTGTACAAGTATTTTCTTTTCTGGACACAATGCTCATAAAAACTCTCAAAATTTTCTGTCTGTTCGAATTCTTTTAGTTATTCATTTAGCTACTATCAAGGATGAGTTTTATTTTTAACTAATGTATATTTTCTTGTATGTGTCTCAAGTTATAGAATTTGTTTTCCAAATACGGTCAAGGTGTATCGAAAATACTTTGACAATACAGGGTGTATAAAAAATACTTTGACAAATTTTGGGAACCTGTTCATTACACCAAGACAAAGACAAATGTTGATATAAACGTATGTCCGCATATATTTCGTTTTTCATTTATTAATTTCAAAGGAAGTTTACAGTCGATGGCGTAGCGTAGACTAGGTTACATTTGCCATTCGTGTACATTTGTGACTAGTCTGTCTTCAAAGTACGTATGTAGTAGTGAATCAACTGTTC